CATGTTGGCTCACAGTCCATCTATCCCCGGTCTTGAAACGATCATTGTATTAGGTGTGAATTGGCCTCCTTCCTTGGCAAAGGTGTGTTGCAGGTATGCGCAAAGCTTTGTCACGTGATCAGTACACAGCCGGTCACTATTTTTAACATTGTCATTGCTATGTGTTTTTTTACAACTTAGTTGTTTATTCCAGAATTCAAGTTTTTTCACATACTTTTTTGATCAGGATATCTGTATAAGGTCATATTGTAGCCGGCAAGTAGTTCATCTATTTTACCAGCAAATTTCATACCTTTACCCAAAAATTTTTTGTTTTTTACTTTTGGGGTAATTGAAACAAACTATTTTATTTATCCTTCTTCACGGCGTGAAACCAATATTGGTCTTTGATTTTGACATTTTATGATCAAAACATATCATTACAAGCCATGCATGGCACAGTCCCCGTTAGTTATCAAATTTAAGATATATAGTTTTGTTTACAGTAATATAGTTGGAACATAAACATGTCAGAATCGCGCGGTCCTGTGTCTTCGACCTACATGCCTCTACACGATACTGTGCGGGATCGCATAGGCTAATTGCTAAAAGCAGTTAGATCTGATTGGACGCACCTCAAAACAAGGCTCCCAATCAGCTTGGACATACCAAAAAAATAAAACAAAATTTCACTTCCTGTTTTTGGTCGCTATGAAGACATCCTTCCCACACAAAACTGCGTTGATTGCCTGTACATGATGAGGCTTGAGGGCACCAATACCGAAAACTTTCGCAATTTTATCATCACAAATATCACGATTCATGGGCGCCACCATTTTGTTTAAAATGAAATGTCAAAAAGGAATTTGAAACACGCAAACTGATTGGACAATATATAGCTGCAACTGACTACTAGGGGTGCTGTTAGAATACACATATTTGATGGTCGTTCTGCCAAGGTATGTTTAGAGGCTTGGCTGAATAAACTTAGACCTTGGCTAGGGAAGATGGAAATATGGATCCAGAAGATGATGCTTGATTTTTTAACATTAAAACTATTGACATTTTGTATCTGATCGTCAAACGAGTACTTGTCCATATTGAGAAATATTGCTCTGGCACAGCATTAATTAAAACAAAATGGCCACCAGTTGGCCATTTTGAATACATCTATATATCCGTAACATGATGTAAAACGAATATAAAAAATTTGAACATAATCAGTCAAAGCATATCAGAAATATGGCTCTAGAAGCGCATTCATTTATACAAAATGGCCATCAGTCAGCCATTTTGAATCATCTAAATGACGTGCATCAGGAACCCAGAATCTATAATGTATTTACCAAGTTTGAACAAAATCCATCCATAAACGCCAAGATCCAGTTCTGGTATGCCAGAAATGCATGATTTTTGATGATTTTTTAGCACAAAAATGACGCCATTTGGCCATTTTAAATCAGATAGCCAACCCAATACATCTATGTCATGATGTATAATGAATATATACAAGCAGCCTCTCGGCTGAGATAGCACCGCTGTTAGCAATGCACATTTCAATTAAAGAACAGAAGATATCATTAGAAAATGAACAATATGCATAGTATCAATGCAATGGGACTTGCTGTTTTCAACAAAAATTCAAAAATATCATTTTTCACCATAAATGATTGTGGTTTTTAACAAGAAGTCGAAAATATCACTTTTTACCAAAAATGACAAAAATATTCACCAAAATTAGAGAATTGAAGATATGATCATGAAATGAACAAATCTGAGAGAGGTCTACCCAAGGTACATATACACCAAGTATCAAATCATTCAGGCTTGTAGTTTTCAAGAAGAAGTCGAAAAAGTAAAACATTGACACAGACGACGAACGATCACTCATATGATAAGCTCCGCTCGACAAAGTGGACAGCGGAGCTAAAAATTTGAACATAATCAGTCGAAACATGGCAGAGATATGGCACTAGAACTGCATTCATTAAAACGAAATGGCCACCATTCGGCCATTTTAAATAAGATCTGAAAAATAAAATGATGTGCATCAAGGTTCCTTAATGTCCAACGTATGTACCAAGTTTAAACAAAATCCATCCATAAATGCTTGATTTTGATGACTTTTTAGCACAAAAATGGCCACCATTCGACCATCTTCAATCAGATTATGAAATAAATTGATGTGCATACATTGTGTATGTATAATATCATGTATGATGTATGTGTTTTTATTTGTCACACTGCATTTTATTAATGTTAAATTGGTCGTTTTTTATGGATGCTCTTTTTGATCATAAATGCAAATGTTTTGAAATGACAATGTATCCTATTCTTTGTTTAAAAAAAAATCATTCATATACAAAATTGAAGCATTGTTGTTTTATAGTTGACTTGAATTATTATGAGTCCCTAAAAATATCACAGTTTTTTCGATCGACCATGGTGACATGAACAACGCCATTTTGACAAGATTTGTGAGCGATGTCAGCATGTTGGTGCGTGCTGTTTTTCCTTATTACATAAGAAACTAAAAGATGAACACAACTCACGATATTAAGCTTTACAATGCAGCAACTGGGTGTTTATGAGTTGATAGACTGGTTTTTATATGTATCAGGGTTCAAAAACCCAAAATTTCATAGTGCTAATTTTTCTACTTGTTTTGTTTACGTTGTAGTTGCCTTAATTTGAGGTCAAGGTGAAGTCATACAATGGGGTATCATTTTGCATGATGGTAAAATTGCCCATTTTAATGAATATTCTAACGGTATCGTAATCTGTCTGACTTCCTGACTCCCTCGGCCCAAGTGTTAACGGTTTGTTTACTCGCAACGCGGTTTGAGACAAAAGGACGCTAGTTGTTTCCAGACCGGGGATAGAGGAACTGTAGTTGGCCATTAACTTTACTCACGTGGCATCAGGTTCAACGTATATTCTGTGCAGTCTAGCAGTACTGACATTTAAAACGTCAATTACTTCCATAGACAATATTTTTTGAGTCTCTGAAAAAAACTTGTCAAAACTCCATGTAAGGGATTCATCACATTCCATGAGACCAGCCAACAATGGAGTAACAACATTTGATAGCCCTTGAGACAACTGTGTAGTTTTTGGCAACTCCCTACTCCATATAATTTCACCACCGTCATCTTTCTGGATTCCAGATATTACTCCAGAGGCCTTTTCAGTAGTAATAAAAAACCTATGAAAGACGAAACCAAAAACATAACATAATATTTAACTCATAATTTGCATATAACAGCATTTGGGCTGATGTATCTCTGAGATAAAGGTCCAAATAAATGCATGGACATACAGACTGATAAAATCATAATTCCTCGTTTTTTAACTTCATCTGAGTTTTGATTATCAGCAACATTGTTGATGAGGTCGGACATTTTTCCATCAATATCCTCTCAATTCCTTGAAAAATGCAATTGATAAGACATGAATGTCTGTTTATATTGAGCAAAGAACATCTTCATTCATATGCATTTAAGGTTGTTTACAGTATTCAACACAACAACTAAGAGCAACAAAATTATTATTGTTTTTTTGTATTTGGCTATTTTGAATTTGATACATATGTGTATGTGCGAATGATGTATTTGAGGTATGAATGGGGCTCCAAAAACTAACTCTGCGACTGTGCAACGATTGTGCGACTTGCCGAATGTCGATTATTGCACTATGCGACAGGATCAAAGTGTCACTCTGTGAAGAGCACGATTCCCATTGGTCGATCAATGTAAGGATACACAGCATGCCTTATAGAAATATTTAGTTTTAAATGATTATTTCAACCACTGAACTACGGTAAACAAGTATTTACTGACGACATGCCGCACGGTTCGGTAATCAGCAAGTATTTAACATTGTTTAATTAACATATATAACATCCCCCGGAGGGGATGAAAAGGGTTACAAAACACATGCACGTTGGTGTTGACTGCCTTATTACGGTGTAACATCAGGAAGCTGGTAACATTAACGCTATCTTGAAGTTGTAAGGCTTCGTCCGCAACTATGCTCATTAGCATAGGCGGCAGCTTTAAAGTGAGTAGAGCGCGAAGTACGTTTCACACATGTTACATTCTTTTTTTTTTTCATTAGCAAGTATAATTTGTTATGACTATATTCATCACTTTGAATTCCCAAATAAAGTGTGTAGCGGGTCAAACTGTTTCTAGACAATCAATATCGTTTCATTAGGAATATTAAGAGAAAAAAAAACGTAAAGCTATGTGAATGGATTGAAACTACTGCTGAAGATAGAAAACTAAAACGGCAGTGTCAACGAAAAATTAGATGGGTGCACGCTCTCTGCATAAACGGAAACGATGGCTTTGTTTATTTGGCCGATGTCGGCGAGCAACAGATTTTCTGTACTCACTTCCTCGTCTGATCACCGACCCTCAACGGTCTCACATATCGGTTTCGTCATCGGACGCCATCTGACAATGGACGTTAGATTAATATGCATTGTTTGCCACAAGAAGCTTGTCACCCATTCTATCAGAATCGTCAACAACAGAGTATTACCGGTAGTATACATATACATGTTATAAACATTATGCAAATATTAACGAAACGGTAATAGTGTTAGCGTTTGAGCACTAGTCTTTCTGAAATTTTGAAAAGCTGGGATGATGAATCAAGGTACAAAGTAACCATTTTATCAATTATTGAAAAATCAAGATAAAAAAAAAAATTCCCCTTCCCGCTACCTTAAGATCAATATGGACCACCGAAATTTGGCGTTCATTTAAAAAAAATAAACCATAATTTTCAGTAATACTGACTTTGAAAATTATGATACAAAAATAATTCCATTCATACCACAAACCAACGCCGTTTTTGTTTGCTTTTCACAACTGTTACAAAGTATTTCATTTCTGGTTAAAATACCAGCTAATCGATCGTAGACCACAAGTTTGGAGTCCGTTTATGATCTAAATGAAGGCAGACGATTGCAAACAACCGTGACTGCTGTCATGACAAAACGTTGCACATCATGAATGATTTTTTTTTCACTGCATGTAAATTATTTTCCTTGATGCACTCAACAAAGTCAAAGTAGACGTGCAAACTTTCGTTGCAGAACGTGTGAAAAGTACTTAGCGTTCTTCTCACTTTGAAACTGCTGCCTATGCTAATGAGCATAGTCGTCAGGACGAACCCTTTCAACTCCAAGATGGCGATAAAGTTGTCAAAACCAACGTGCACGTTACACTATTTAATATTTCTAGCCAGCGGTGTGATGTGTCTAATCACCGTAAACCATGTGTCATTTGTTTGGTCCCACAATTTGTCTTCCATGTGCTTGCCGATCACCGACCAGATAATTTTTTATAAGGCATGCGGTGAACATCGACCATTGGGATTCGCGCTGTTCGACCCACCAATCAATAGGAATTGTGCTCTTCGCAGAGTGACACTGCGATTCTGTTGCAGAGTGCAATTATCAACATTCAGGAAGTCGCACAATCGCGTCGCAGAGTTAGTTTTTAGACCCCCATACATGCATGTGTATTTTGTATCTAAAAAGTTTGAACGTGATTGGTCAAGACATGTCAGAGGCTCCAAAACAGCATTGGTCAAAAACAAATGGCCGCCAGTCGCCAATTTTGAGTTGGATCGGAAACACAAGAACATAAAACACTGCAAAGACTCACATGTGTGCTTCGCATTCTTGATTCAAAAAAATTTACTTACATCGTTTCTCTGTTTTTTCTGCCACCATAAGGTCGAAATGGAAGATGACCAGCTGCCACATGAAACAATGTCACACCTATACTCCACAAATCAACTGTAGCATTGAAGATCTTTCCCATGGGCTTCCGTAACACAGCTCTTTCATATAAATCAGGGTGCTTAATACAAAAAAAGTATTCAGTTAAATTAATGTCAACAAGTTTTTGCAGAAATATATTGCATGTATATTCATTAAAATAAAAGTATCTGTCATGAGTTGGAACAGAATCTGGAAGTGCTAAAAACATATTGGATGAAATTACTATTACAGCCTTGTCCTTTGAGTATCTAGAAAACAAATAACAATTCAATTCAAGAATGCTGCCTGGTAGAAGAAACAAAAAGTACTGATGATCTGCTAGACCATACACGTACACACATTATTTTATATAGTTCTGCTAACTTTATTCATGATTATGGTTTGATATGAAATATATACAAAATGTTATTACGAGGGAATGTTTTAGCAAACTCATATATAATTTTGTTGGGAAATATGATTTATGACACAGATTTTAACCCCAGGTCTGTGCATTGTCCATGAGCCTCAATATAGTTTTAGTGAAATAGCATGATTACCTTGAGTTATCAATGGAAAAACCAAAAATGTATTAATTATTATGCAAATTTGGTAATTAATATGGGCAGATTTTAACCCAAAACTAATCAATCTGCGCTTTGTCCCAGAGCACCTAATAAATATGTATGAAGATTCATCATAACCTGGCAGTCAGTTTTTCAGATATCTGTGGGACAGACATGTATGCACAAACACATACATACACACACATGCAGACAGAAAAATAGCAAAGACTTTCTTTGCTTTGCACACAGGTGTCCAAAATGTCTCGGTCAGTGCTGATAATCAATATATCTTAGATACAGAAAGACTTACCAAGTATTCCTCAGTGCCATAAAGTGACATAAATTGTTCACTGTCTCCCAGCTCACGAGCAGCACCAAAGTCAGCCAGTTTGTAAGTACTTCTGCCATCTTCCCTTTTTACTTTCATGATATTTCCTGGTTTGAGATCACGATGGACAACATTTTTTTCTCTAAGATGATTCATTCCAGCAGCTATGCAAGATATAGTTAAGAATATAAGGTATATAGTAAAATAAAGCCATTTCACTCTCTGCTGTAGAGCATTTATTTTCAAAACAAAGTTGAGAATGTTCTGCACAATGAAATATTATTATATTATACCAGTATATTGATGGTGTTAATCCATCGATTTGATTGGTCCAAACACAAAATTTGCTTATGCAATTAATGGTATATTGGCTGATAATGCATGGCTAAACCAAGGGGCCCTGGAACATGAATTGACTACAGGTTTAATAAGGAAATACATAAAACTGGTAGTGTTTGATTTTTAGGAAAATATAGTGGTTGGATTTTGAAAAAAATATTGAAAAAACACCAAATTAAAAACATCTGAAAAAATATATAACCATAGTATTGCTTTTGTTAATGGCGGGATCCAAGTTGTGAGCGTCGGTCGTTGGGTGATTGTCGTTCGCCACACAAACCTAAACCACCGTCATTCAACACCGTGAGATGCCTAGACGAACGCCAGAACGCTGTGTTCTCTGTGTTGTGACTTTGAAATGGATTGTGAACCTCCAACAAAGAAACATGATCTTTAAGTTTAACTGGTGACCAACTTGATGAGATTGCGGGATTGAAAGAAAACAATGCAAAAAACTATGAGTCACAGGCAAAAATGTATGCCACCAATAACAACCGGTGTCCCTTAGCGGAGGTTTGAATCCTAGCTGACAAAATTGCAGTGAAATTACACCCAGGCTATTGCCATCTGTTTCAAAGAACACGAAATATATGGTATTGTAATTCTCCACTATGGGTAAACAAATTACAGAAGATGAAGAAGGTAATTTCGAAAGCTGTAGATTTGTGCCGAGTGTACACCAACCACTGCATTAGAGCGACGGTGTGCACAGTAAAAATAAGGAATACCATATTTAGAATAGAATAGACTATATAGAATAGAATAGACTGAATAGAATAGAATAGAATAGAATAGAATAGAATAGAATAGAATAGAATAGAATAGAATAGAATAGAATAGAATAGAATAGAATAGAACTGATTGCCTGTCTACCATTATACCTGGTACACACAGAGAGGGTAATCCCCAAAACTCCTATTGTGTGTTATGCACAAGTGAGTCAACAACAAAACTTAAGAAGAAGAGCATGTCTCACCAACATCTTTGAGAACAGATTTAAACTCCATCTCTGTTAAACCATATGCATTTTGAGGTTCATCAAGCATTGTATATAAGCTTCCTTCACACAGCTCCATTACAATAACCTTCTGTCTACTTGATTGCTGAGATAAAATAAAACCTAATTTATTATGACAGATTTAGAATAACCATTTTAATCACATTACACTTCCATGTCCACCTGCCAATCAACAAATGTCACTTCCATGTCCACCTGCCAATCAACAAATGACACTTCCATGTCCACCTGCCAATCAACAAATGACACTTCCATGTCCACCTGCCAATCAACAAATGACACTTCCATGTCCACCTGCCAATCAACAAATGACACTTCCATGTCCACCTGCCAATCAACAAATGTCACTTCCATGTCCACCTGCCAATCAACAAATGACACTTCCATGTCCACCTGCCAATCAACAAATGACACTTCCATGTCCACCTGCCAATCAACAAATGACACTTCCATGTCCACTTGCCAATCAACAAATGACACTTCCATGTCCACCTGCCAATCAACAAATGTCACTTCCATGTCCGCCTGCCAATCAACAAATGACACTTCCATGTCCACCTGCCAATCAACAAATGACACTTCCATGTCCACTTGCCAATCAACAAATGACACTTCCATGTCCACCTGCCAATCAACAAATGACACTTTCATGTCCACCTGCCAATCAACAAATGACACTTTCATGTCCACCTGCCAATCAACAAATGACACTTCCATGTCCACCTGCCAATCAACACATGTCAATCCATTGACACTTCCATGTCCACCTGTCAATAAACATGTGACACTTCTATGTCCCACCTGACAATCAACAATTGACACTTGACACTTCTATGTTCATCTGCGAATCACCACATGCCAATCCATTGACACTTATATATCCTACCTGTCAATCAACATGACACTTCCATATCCCACCTGTCAGTCAACATGACACTTCCATTTCCCACCTGTCAATCAACATGACACTTCCATTTCCCACATGTCAATCAACATGACACTTCCATCCCACTTGTCAATCAACGAATGACACTTCCATTTCCCACATGTCAATCAACACAAGGCACTTTCAAGTCCACCTGTCAATCAACACACATCAATCCATTGACACTTCCATGTCCAACTGTCAATCAACACATAACACTTCCATGACCACCTTTCAAGCAACAAATGTCAATACAAGTACACTTCCATGTCCACCTGCCAATCAACACATGTCAATCTCATAACACTTCCATGTTCAACTGACAATCAACAATTGACACTTCTATGTTCATGTGTCAATCAACACATGCCAATCCATTGGCATTTCCATGTCCATCTGTCAATCAACACATGACACTTTCATATTCCACCTGACAATTGACACTTCTATGTTCACGTGTCAATCAACACATGCCAATCCATTGGCATTTCCATGTTCACCTGTCAATCAACACATGAAACTTCCATATCCCACCTGTCAATCAACACAAGCACAAGTGCATTCCTAGATGAATGAATCTGAGATGAAAAAATATGTGTAGTGCATGTTGTACTGTACTTATAGCGCAATAGTTCAATATGAAGCATATTGTTTCAAAAATTGAAAGCAATTGACAAGTCATATCATCCACATATCCAAATCATAGCGGAAATCATACTGCAGAAATTAATATACATGTACGGTCATGAATTCTATAAATGTGTTAACAATACAATACTACTAGCAGTTACTGGCAGTGAAAATTCAGCGCCTTGTTATGACTAAACAACCCTTGCCACAGGCGATGGTTTGTTTTGAAAATTTAGCTTGGCAGAACTTAATAGTAATGTCAGCT